AGATGAATATAACAAATAAATCAAATATATCTAATATGTCCGATATGTCCAAGATATCAATTATATCAAATATGTCCGGTATATCAATTATATCAAATATGTCTGATATGTTTAACACTTAGATCTGCAATATACTGCGCCACATTCATCAATCCAATCCTGTTACATTATTTTACATAGTTTTTCTATTTTTTGCTTATATTTTTTAAATAAAAAATTAATCAGTGAGTTTTGGTAATATTTATGTTATATTTTTGTGAATTATATTAGGTTTATATTATTAATAATATTTTAATATTTAATAAATTTAAAAAATAAAATATATCAATTTTATATACTTATTTATCGAATTGATACTAAATTAAGACCAATTTTAGGCTGATTTATAGTTATTTAAGTTCTAAATTGATGCTGAATAATGCTAAATTGAGTCAAATTTATGGTTATTTAAGTTCTGAATTGATGCTAAATAATGCTGAATTGAGGTTAATTTTAGGCTGATTTATGGTTATTTAAGTTCTGAATTGATTCTAAATTGATGCTAAATTGAGGTCAATTTTAGGTTAATTTATAATCGTTAAGTTCTGAATTAATGCTAAATAATACTGAATTAAGATCAATTTTAGGCTGATTTATGATTAAATTTAAATTTTAAATTGATATCAAATGGTTATGTCTGATTAGAATCAATCAGCATATATCTGAACCTGTTTATATCAATTAAAAAAAATGGTAAATCAGCTATAAATAGTATCAAAATCAGCCTAAAATTAGCTATTTAATTTCTAGCTAATTTGAACTATTTTGAACTATTTTGACCAATGAGCTATTTTAATAGAATAAAAGCTTTGATTTTAGTAAGCTACAAAAACTCAGAATTTGACTTTTGTCTAATAGAGATAATGATAATTTTTGATAATTTTTACATGTAAAAATCTTTCTCATTAATTTATTTTATTGCAAAAAAAAAATTTTTTCATTTCACATTATTTTTTTATTCTATAAATTCTATTACTTGAATTATTTTATTAAATTATAAAACTAAGATAATAAAAAACAATTATTATTTATTTTAATGAAATAATAATATACGTTAGAATCTTAATGATATTTATAAAAATAATGCTTATTTGAGTATTAACGTTAATATATATATATATTTTAAAGAATAAATATAAATCATAATATATCATCTAAATTTATATATATTAAAAAAAAATTAAAAATATAAATATCCTATTTATTATTTATGTTTTGCATAATCTCTTGTCTAACAATTTGAATTATATCATTTTTAAGATTTTTCAAGTTATTATTTATAATGATAAATTTTAACTATCAGTACTTAAAGATATTGATAAATAGTAATTTCTTAATATGAATAATATTTGTTACTTGTAAAAAGTATTTTCAAGTATTTATATTCTTTGATAATCATAAATAATATTACTTGATAATATTTAAAGTATTATTTCTTTACTAAAACTATTATTTCTTCTTTGTGAAAGATTTGTTAGGAATTGATTAACATTATTTTTGCTGTTATTTTCTGGTACTTGTATTATTTTATTATTATTTTACTTTTTCTTTTTATTTTATTTATATAAGAGAAATCCTCTAAATGATAAAAATATCATACTGATTAATGATTTTAAAGCTATTTTTATTATAATTTAAGGTAATAGTAATAATTATTTGTTTATTTTCATTACCTGTATTAGTATGAGTATTGCTGCTGATAAAGAAAGTATTGAAGAACTGATCATATTGATTAGATTAATAAGATCAAAATATTTGTCTAGATATATTCTTCATTCCTACTAATTTTAAGCAATAAAATGTTACCATCATTTTTATTATAATTTAACCCTATCAATTTTAAAATAATTTATGGTTAAAATTTCATTTTTTATATGATAAATAAAAAGATAATGCCTCATTATTCTTAAAAAGTCAATTTACTAAATGATATAACCATATATTTTCTAATTACATTTGTCTGATATAATATCTGAAACTCAGAATTGTTTTAAAAATATTTAGAATATATACTTTCCAGTCAAAAGTATTAGATTACTAATTTTTATTATATTAATCAGCGTAATTTTGCCAATTATAATTTATAATACAATATATAAAATAAGTCTATTTTTTCTTGCATAGCTATGAACTTCTTGTATTTGAATATAATTTTTTAAAATACTCAAAACCTAAAAACTTTCTAAATTTAAACAAGATAAATAATTGGCCTTTGAAAAGATAGTTATATTGAGCGAGATATTGTAAATATTCTTAACCATTTTAAGTCAACCATTTATAATATTATTGAAAAATATAAATTGAACATCAAATTTCCAATGCTTCTAAGTCTAGTAGACTACTTAAATTAACAGAGAGAATCATTAGATATCTTGTAAATTTGTTAAAAAAAATAGACAACTATTCTTAGATAAAATTACAGAAAAATTTAATTAGATATCTAATAGTTTCAGTGAATTCTACTACTATAAAGTGTACTTTATATAATGAAGGAAAAAAACTTTTAGTATTTGAAGTAAATCGTAAAAAAGGTTAGAATAGTGTTGTATTAGGAAAGATTAAGAATCTAATATAATAATATGAAGTGATGAGTCTCATTTTTATTATTTCAAAATGATGATTATCACTGGATCTGCATCATTCTCATAAAAATATGATATAAATTGTTTAATTCTTACAGTAAAGTCAGGAAATTAAGGCATTATGGTATGGAAATGTTTTACTAAAAATAATATTGGCCCTTTAATTCAAGTTTCTGGTAGAATCACAGGTTCTGTATATATTAATATTTTAAATAATAATCTTTTACCCTTTATTGATGAGTTGAGAACTAATTTAAAAGATATTTTTTAAGATAATAGTACTCCTGTTCATCAGGCAAAAGTAGTTAAGGAATGGATAGAAGAAAATGAAATAACCAATATTTTATGGTCTGCACATTCACCTGACCTTAATCCAATTGAGCATCTGTGAGATGTTTTAGAAAGAAAGGTTTGTAAACATAAGCCACATCCAAAAATCTTAATGAATTAATGGTTATTTGGAGGAAAAGTGGTATGAATTGAACCAGAAATTTTAGAAAATTTAGTAGAAAGCATGCCAAGAAAAATTCAAGCTGTAATAGATAGCAATTCCAACTAAATATTAATTTTATAAATAAAATATTTATGTTTTTATGAACAAAATAAAAAAAGATTTATTCAAATTCACTTATTAATTTTTTTTATAATTAAAAAATTAAAATTGGTCATAAATTTAAAAGTTGCGATAACTTTTTTTTGGTCCAATACTTTTGATCGGGGATTGATCATTCAAAATTTACTAAATCTAATACAATACATAAAGAGCATCCTGAGGTTTGAGGTTATTAAGATTATTAACCCTCCGAAAATTATTATTCGTTGCCCATCCAATCCTTTTATTGAGATTAGTTAATTTAAAGTTCTAATAAATTTTATCTAATATTTTTAAAGAATACTCACCAATGATAGCAGAAAAAGAGTCTCTGTCAGACGGAACTGTACATGAAGTTATCTAATATAATTATTATAGATATATTAATTTGATTTAAAATTATTAGCTATTAAATATTTTTTGAAAAAATTATTTTTTTTTTTAATAGAGCTTACTCTTGTAATCCAAGAATCATGAACCGTGTCATAATAGTAAATCTGAAATTAATTCATCGTAAACAAAATATGAGTTTTAAATATAACCAATTTGTTTTAGTGACAAATTGTTATTTTTGTAACTCACCTGACTTAATGACAAAGACATACCATCATTATCAGATGTGGCGTAATAGCCACCAAGATAAACAATTAACTGATTTGAGAAGAGAATTGCCCCCATTGAGGATGGTGCATTAGCCGTACTTCCTTTTTCCCATTTCAAGCTTATTGTATCTAAAATAAAAAAATCATCTGTAGTACCATTATGATTTCCATTGAAAGTACCATTATGGTATCCACCAAATACATTTTCCCCATGATGCCTTTTAGGTTATCTTTTCTAATAGGATTTTCACCGGTTATGTTTTGAATATTCCATAAATTATTTTGTGTATTAAACGCATAAACTAAAGACATTATATCGCTATCATTGTGAGGTCTTCCCCATATAAAAACAGGGTATCATTATTCGCACCATCTTTAACCATGTAGAAGTTATGTGTGATGGAACAGTAATAATGCTTGCCATAATATATCTTGAGTGTTAAATGGAACGGAGACATCAGCATAAAAACTTTTGCCAACTTCCAAATTATCTTAATTTGCTCCGCCTAAAATGTATAATTTATCATCTATGAGTGTAGAGGTATGACCATCTCGTTGAAATGGCCTAAAAGGTGTCTTCTGACAATTCGCTTCGTTTAAGAATTGAATTAAAAGCCATAATAATACTATGTGCGTTGAATAATTCTCCAACATGTTGCACACCTTAAGGACGACCACGGTAAGGAAATTGATTTTTTTTTAAAAAATTCGAAAGATTTAACGTTTGCCTACCATGTATGCATTTTTATATTTCGTTATATTGCATAAATTTAAAGTTTAATTGAATCCCAATTAGTAAATTATCAATGTACTTGCTCCGCGACTGGGAATTCGTAACTCGTTCCTCATAAAGTTATAGTTGCATGTCAATCGAAATATGAGGCGCAGCAAGCATATTCGTTTAATACGAAAAGTTTTTTTTTCGCTTGGCCTTATAATTACTAGCAAAAAATTATGTTATAGTAGTTATTCCGAATAATATTTTAAATTAGATAAAAAATTTGTTTTATCAACAAGGGTGGCAGGACCGTCCGTCTGTGTGGATTGGCCATATATACCTATGGCATTATCCTGGACATTACCAGCAATCTATAGGATCGAAGTAATTTAGTAGTTAGGGATCCTAGAAATATATTAGGAGAACAAAAACTAATTGTAAAAAAGCTCGATCATATCAATAAGTCTAACCAATTTTCCCGAGTCGCATTCACTGCTCTATTTTCAATTGGAGTTCCTTGGATATCAGTGCTCATAGCCTACTTCATACCTCCAGTTGGATATTCCATATGGTCATTAAACAGTATCTTGGCACTTTTAAGCCATGTGAGAGGTGAAAAATGCACAAATGGTAATGGATTTCTTCATGCTTTTTTTTTCACTTGTGGTGTTATAGTGGCATTACTTTTGTTTGTTGAGCAATCAAAGATCTTGGCGGGTAAGCCTGTTCGGAAATTCTTGTGAAACTGCGGGCAACATATGCTCATAGAATTATATAGACTCTTACTAAATTGTTGGGAATCCCTAAAAAAAATAAAAATAATTCGAAAAATGCAAAGTAGATTAACACGCGTGTCTTTAAATATTTATTTATTTTCATTATTTATATATACTGTAACACTCACATATTGACATCGTTATTATTATTCGTTATTATTAATTATCCTATTATTATCTTATCTAGTATTAAAGATTTATTATAATTTGTCCTATAGTTCGACATTGTTGTCGGTAGAATTTATAATAAAATCTAATAATTCAGTGATTATATTATTTTTTGAAGTGAAAATTGCGATTTTAAATAACTGATCACGTGACTTTGAACATTTCTATTAAGAAATACAAACGCGCTATAAAAGGTAATAAATTTTATCACATAATGAAACGTAAAGATTATTAAATTTAGAAAAGATGTCAACACCTCGCTTTAGTTTTGTGATAATAATCTTATTACACAGCGAAAAGTCATAAATAAAAAATTTCACACTATAAAGAATTGATTTACAGTAAAATATGGAACAATCTATACAGTTTCTTAACCCACGTGATTTTTTGGCCGGCATTATGGAACTTGGCAAAAATCAATAATGTGATGAACAAATCTTTCCTAAAATGTAACTACCATAAAAGGGAAACAAAAACAAAAAATTTTTAACTTTTTGTACGAGTCATTCATTCTTTTATATAATCATTCTACTTTCATTTGTTGAAATGCATATTGTGCTTGGACACTGCAATTTTATACTAGTTGAAATAATAAATCTTTGAATGAAAATGAGACTACCATATAGGGAAACAAAAACAAAAATTTGGCGATTAGTACAATTTGTAGAGTGTTATTGTTTCGTGCTTGGGTACAAGTCAAGTGATCAGTCATTTTGTATACCAAAAAATTCAATTATAAAAGCCCTCTCAAAATGCTTGTGATTTATTCATATTCATCATGTAATCAAATAAATTTCTTTAAAAAAAAAAATTCTTTTTTTGCGAAAAATAAATAATTGTCATTTTTCTCATAGCTGGAGGGTTGTTAGTGAATTATGGTCCACGACAACATTGAAATTCCAAAAAAAAATTTTTTTTTTTGATATACTTTTTTTTAACGTAATTTATTTTTATAATTTTGTTTCGATTAAAATTTAATTATCAGCATTAATTTTTTTTATTTTTCCTTTAATATTGTATATAATAATTTTTTACAATATTTATTTTTGAATTAAATCTTTTGCCAAATTATTATCTGTATATAAAGATTGTATATCAATGTTTTTAAGAAATAATAACCTGCAATCATTTTCTTTAAATTTTTTGTTTCGCTTTGATTCATGTTCTTTCAATTTTTCGTTTCGCTTGAATAAATGAATTTGAAATGAGTTTGATAGTACACTTGATTATTTATAATGGCCGGTAGTTTCTGCAATTCCTTATATACCAACAAAAAGAATAAATAATTCAATGAACTTATTATTATTAAGAACAATTGACCCCCGGATAAAATTTTTATCGTACTTAAACGGAATAATTAGAATTTTAGCAAATTTAAGATCTGACTCCGATTATATATACCAAGTTGGCGAGAATTTCGGATTACCCGCGTAGTTGGCAAATCGTCCTGATCGGGTTTCATGAATGATTAACAATAAACCATTTACTAACAAAGTTTCCTTCAACAGCAATAGCAAATTACCTTCCTTATTATTCCAACTTCTTGAATGAAACATCAGTACGCTATTGCTCCCTTGGTACATTTTCTGTAATTCCTTCACTTTCAATCATCAATAACCGAGTGCAAGTTTCTTTAAGGAAGAGATGAGCTCGAGAGATTAAATGTCGGATATCCTGTTTGGTTGTTGCAGTGGTGAGGGATGGATCAAGTACCTCCCGATCCAAATTGAATTCCTAATTCAGGTTTCGGAATTAGACCAAGTGTTGATGCTTTGTTTATCAAACGCAAAAAAGTCGCTTGATGTTATGCTAATGAATCCGGCGCTAATCTCAAGCGTATCAAATCTAAATTTGAAGAGACATTTTTTTTTTTTAGTTTGAATGCTGTGTAGAGTACATTCGTGATACCCAAAATCTTACATTTTTTCATGTATTTATCGATTAACCCTTTTGATCCCCAATTCCTTGAGCTTTACCCATCGGACTATAATATGGTCCATGAATTTCTGTTTGTCCCGATTTTCTTGATTTAGATTCCCTTGCCGGGTTAACGAAAATGGAAAGGATCCACTATGGGTTTTATTTTGAATGGCAGAATTAACAAATTTGCGAGGATCGTATAGAAAACAAGTATGGTATGGTGACCGATGTATGTACTGTATGTATGGTGACAAATGTATGGTGTATGCTTAAGAATGTATGATATACGGTATTTTATTCATACATACATACATCATTTATATATAACAAAAAAGGTGTTTGATAAATATACATGTATAGGAAAAACCGTCAAAATTACCATACATTTGTCATCATTCATACATACATCGGTCACCATACCATACTTGTTTTCGTTACCCCATTTGCGAGATGAAAATTTGGTAGTTGAATAAGATTGAGCGAACGATTTTTCACGGACTTTGTGAAAAACGACGTTTTGTTACAAAGAAACCAACCTTTCGTAAAAATTTAATTATTGCAACGTTTAAGTGCGCTTTTAGTGTGAGAATATAATCACGCGAGAGACTCGATATGACGTATGAAATTTAAACCAATTATAATTTAATTTATTTATTCTTTTTTTATTACAAAAATTTAAAAAATTTAGCTAAATATAGTTATGCAAGTCAAGAATTTTTTGATATAATAATATATAGAAAAATAAAAAGCTATAAAATATGCAAAAATGAAATATATAAATTTGAATGAAATATTTCGCATACTATCTTCTAGGGGAAAGGATTTTCTTTCAATCCAAAATGATTTAATCCTGTTTTTTATTTTATAAAAATGAGGTTGTAGGAATATATAAAAGATAATTATTTTTTTTTTTTTTAAAAAATAACGTCTAAAAACTTACGACAATTTCGATCCGTCGTACTAGGTTAAAGTTTACGACATGACCCTTTCTCTATTATCAATTATATCTTGAAAGCTTTCTCGTTTAGCATGAAGCAAACGGTAAACTGATTTGATAGAACCAATAGCCATTCCAGAAACTTTTGCGATATCATCAATAGGGATCCCACCATGAGAAATTTCAGATGCATAATGAATACAAACAGCAGCGATGGTATTTTGATTTCTACCAGTAAGTAAACCTAAATCATCGGTTCGCTTGCTTAATCTTGTGGCGGTGATTTGAAGATCTCTCGGTAAGTTTAAACTCTGAGAAAATCTAATCATTAAATCTTCAGAAGTCATTTGTCCAACATTCAATACCAAATTTTGATGTAATATTTTATAACATCTTGCAATCTCTCTTATAGAAACTTGTGATGAAAAGCAAATTTCTCTAAAAGATCTCGCAACTTTTTTAACCCTACATGCGATAAAAATGCATGCGGAGAAAATTGCCAATTGATTTTTCCCACGAAATAATCTTTCCTCAATTGACCTTTTATATAATTGTTTTGTCGTATCCGAAATTTCTTTTGTTAAATTCATTGAACCACACAATGCTTCAATTTCCGAGAATGCATGTTTTAATGTCATATCAAATTCACTAGTTGTTGCTTTAATATGTGCTCTAGTTAAACCTTTACGACCCTTTGGTGAAATATTTGTATTCAAAGCTGAATCCTTCAATAATGGGTCTGCTGCTGCACCAACTCGAGAAGGATCCGAACCATTATCATCGCCGCTAAAAGTACGCCATTCAGGTCTTGTGTCGATAATACGATCTGCAAGGACTAAACCGCAATCTCCACAAACTATATCTCCACTCGAGTATTCTTCAATCAAATTTGCTTGAGAATTTCTACATTCTGGACATATCAAACGAACATTCAAATCTGGAAGAAATACTTTTGACGTAGAGTTATCATCTACCAAAGGTTTTTTGTTTGGAAACGGAGTGCGAAACATTATTTTTTTTTTTTAAAAAAGGAAAAAAAAAAAATGTCGAGAGAAATATAGAGAGAGAATGATTGAAATTGAAATCAAAAGTAGTTCACCAGATCTTTATATACTTCACTTTTTAATTAAATGACATAATTACCACGCGTAGATTTTTGGTGAAAAGAAGTAAATTACGTACCTTACGCAGCAAAAATTTGTGTAAATCATTACCAAAATTAATACCGCTTTTGTTGATAAATATAGTTTCCAGTTTCCAAAGCTTTTGTTTCTAAAATATCATTGTTTCTAAATATAGTTGGTATAGTTGATTATATATATTTAAGTATAAAATACAAAAATTTATATTCAATTGTATTTATTGATATTCCAAATTATTTCTCAAAAAAAATAAACACTTGAAAAGATAAAAAAAGTAATATTGAAAACACAAAAATTGTTACATTAAAAATAACAAATTTTATAATAAAATTAAAAATTTTTTCGTTCTCATTGATAAAATAAAAAATCCTTTCCAAAAAATTGAATAATTTCTCTAGTAATTTAAACACCAAATATTTCTAAGAATTATAAAACGAAAACTGTTTGCAAAGCAATAATTTCCACCAAATCGACGAGTCACCAAACGTAAATCCATCCATGAATTCATTTATCAAAAAATTTTTCAAATGATAATTTTAACTAATGTAAAATACACCTTATCTTTTTGAAACCCTAAAGAAAAATCTTTTTTCCAGCTGAAAGGTTAATTATTAATTTATCCTTTTAAAATTTTATTATTTTTGAACTTTACAGTAATTATGTAGTATGAACTCGCTTAAACCAAATATATAGTACATCATGTACTGTACACTAGGGAATGGGAACCGTTGTGCGTCCGAAGCGAAAAAATAAAAATAATAATCTTATTTTTTTTATTATTATCACATGCAAATATTGATTGTTACACCTGGTCCCGAAATTTGATTGGGCATTTTCGCATAGTGACAGACAGACATTGCATGGTCTTGAGTGTACATAATATTCCTCCGCTACGCTTCGGAAAATAACTCGATTTACAAAAAAAAATCCTTGGATTAGATCAGAAATAAAAAAACTTTATCATGATAAATGAATGTTTTCAAGTCCATCCATAATATCTTATCAGAATCAGCCTCTTGGGATAATCCATCTGCCAACTGAAAATGCAAAATTTATGAATAAAAAAATAAAATTATATCTCGAACATTTTCTTTAGATAATATGAATTGAAATAGTTACTTGTTTGGACAATAGAACTTTATCAGAGTCAGGAGATTTTTGTTGAATTTATGTACCCTTTCCATTAATATTTAGTATTGGGGTAAGTATTTAAGTTAATAAAATTGAAAAGTAGTATTTATATATAAAACTTGATTTTTAGGCTGTATTTTTCAGCACCGTGGCGCAGCTACGATTCAAAATCACGTGGGGACGAAAATTTAACTTTGATAAATTTATAGAGTATCAAATTGTATACTTGATGATTAATACGGTTTTATATGAAGCTCCGCATTTTGTTTCGAATATAGAATAATTTGACAAACACAGTATTGTTAGTAGCGTTGTATTCAATTCTTTCGCATATATTTATAAACCATTTTAAATGTAAGCAGAAGATATTTTATTAATTCGAAATAGTGTAAATATGATGCAAAAATTATTTAATAAAATTAATTAATCAAGATGTTGCACTCGCTCTTCACTTCCGAATTAAATTTATTAACTCAATTAATGCTAATCAATTTATTAAAGATAATAATAATAAATAAATTATCGAAGTTATAAGGTTATAACGAAAAAAATAATAAAGTTAAAAAACAACGAAAACGAAAGTGATTTAGGTGTGAAACAACTTAAAAAAACGTAAAGTGCTAAAAAGCAAAACTTGGAAGTATCCAGGACACAAAATTATATTTTTGCTTAAAATATATGCTTCCAACTTTGCTTTAAATATAAGATGAAATTTCATTCTAAACTTATAGTCGCCTTGAATTAAATCGTCTTGCTTTGTATACTCAGAAATGTAAAAGGTCTTATTTATTTTTAATACTTTAAATCTTTATATTATATATATTAAATATCATTTTTTTTTTTAAAAAAAAAAAAATAAAGGAAGGATCAGGAATTATTGCTTTGGGCCAAGTGTACATACTTTTTTATTATGACTCGTTATGAATCATATGATTTACTATGTTCGTAAACTCGATTTTAATAGCAAACTCCCATATGACAAGCTCCAAAGCGAGCGTGATAGTATTCAAGAAAAAGAAACAAGCTAACGAAGCATTGGTTCCAGGATCGCCTGAGCTATTTGTACATGTTCATATTTTCATTTTCTGATCCATAAGGCACGTGAACATCCGTGGTGTCAAGTAGTAGAAGAATACACAAACAAAACTTGTGGATTTTATGGTTATATCCATAAAATCGAGGCGGATCCAAGGTGTTTTGTTATCCCAATGCAAAATAAATCTTGACAGAGATACCAATGGTGCGTTTCAATAACTCCTTCAATACTTTACAAAAATGAAGTCAGCACTGACGTGGATGCCTACTCCCTTACAGGAATTGTTATTACCTAATTTAGACTTTACTTAATGTGGAATTTTATTAGAAATGATAGGTTTTAATTTAATGTAGGTGTTTTATAAGAAACCGAATATATTTTTTTTGAATCGTGGAATCGTACTATAACATGATCAACTGTAAAGTTTGCTTCATCGAGATATATATATTATTTATTTATTTACAATTTATAATTGATGAATAAAACATAAAAAAATTATTTATTATAATACTTCTAATGCCAGATATACTTGCACTAACCATTTTTGCCCTTCTTCAACTTCATTTATTTGTATTATTCTATTTATTATTTTTTTTTTTTTGTCTCTTCCTCCCTATACGGATCAGCGGAATCGTATAGTAAAAATTATCTTTAATTTGCAATGATATTTGATGCAAGTATTTCATTAAAAATTTATTTTCGTTTCTAAAATAACCGATAACATATCTTATTTCTATATGGATATTTTGTTTGTTCTAATCAGCTAAAAATATTCTACGATTATAAGGTCATTATTTTCAGGGTAAGATTTCTCCACCTGAAAAAAATTGTCGAATGATGAAAATAAAAGTCTCAAGTTTTTGACAATTAAAATAAAATCCTACTTCAGACCTGATAAAATTTACTTAAAAAGTAATTTCAATTAATTTATAAAGTTACAAATACGGCCCCAGTGCCATGCAAGAAATTTTAACAAATCTTAATAAATATTTTATAAACCAATTATACATTAATTAAGTGTACAATTACAGCATGATATTTATGACTTTATAAATAATATTTTATACATATTTAATAAAAAAAAAACAGAAAGATGTAATGTTTTATGAAGTAACCTATTCTAAACTCGATTTAATAAACATCATACTCTTTTGTAATTAAAATATTAATAATATTTTTAACAATTGATATAATTTAAAAGTAGATTAGTAAAATTGTATTTTAAAAAAATTTTTTGAATTTTTCTTTAAGGATTTATTAACTTATTATGTCGGTATTAATCAATTCATATGGATTCAACTTCGATAAGTAATACCAATAGAATAGTTGACATTTTAGGCTTGTCTTATCAACAGAAATGGTTATGCACGTTATTTATATAGTAAGGATGATTTAGCGAATTAATTACAAAAAGCCCAAGTTGTCGCGGAGTAAAAGAAATTGTGCAAACTTGAATTACAAACAACATATTGCATCGACGCTATTGGAGGCTAATACAAAAATTTATCAGAAATTATAAAAGAAGCTTTTTCTGATTAATTTTTCTATTTTTTCCTTTAAAAGATAAAATAGCTCGAATTTTATCATTAGATAGAGTAGATACCATTTCAACGTGAATTTAATTCATTAATTTTACTTTATTCCTAAAAAATGGTAAACGCATTTATTCCGAAATACCAAAACTCGAAATAAAGGATACCAAATTCGATACCTATTAGTTTTACAAAAAGCAATTTGGAAGAAACCTTCAGCTGTGAACAACGTGATGCAATTGATAAATAACCATCTAATATCTTTATAACACTAACGTCAAACCCGATTAATTCTAACCACACGTTATATTTATAATAGTTTATATGCCATAACCAGTATTTCATTTAATTTATTTTAAAGTTAAATTGGAAAATAATAATGTCTGGACGTATCTAGTGGACTCAGGAGACGTAACTATATCGTTTCGTATACGGATCTCATAAATAAAGTTCACATATTAAAATTTCGCAAAGATAATAATTCACAACATTCTGCTTGCACGTAGCTAGAGATACAGTAAGATATATTAAAATTAATAAATGCAACAAGGTCTTAGTGTTAGTCGAAAAATTCTCTATTTACTTAGAAGCGATAGAATAGGTTAAAAAAGTTGTTTATATGATAGATCAAATTTATAAATAATTTAAACATTATTCATAAAATTTAAATAGTAAATTTAAATCGGCTCAGTATTTTGAATTACTATATTTTCTGCAAATTTCAATTCAATATGCTCTTTGATTATACAGGGGGTATAAAAAGTATTGTCCAGTTTTGAAAATTTTATTACAAGACAATTAACATATTAACATTATTTTTTTTTTTTTATTTTATTGAACTACAGGTCAATATTTCGTTGGACCTCCATTTGCAGCAAGAACGGCCTGAACCCGACGTGGCATTGACTTGATCA